AGGGGACACTGGTGCCATCACCACCCGATGTCTCCATCCTGCCATCGCACAGCCTAAGCCCCAGAGAAAAAGGCACTGAATGCTGCTGGAGCCCAGCCAGGCTCCAAACCCCAACCCAAGGACCCTGACATTGAGCCACTAACCAAGAGCATCCACCACACGGAACAGGTTTATTCTGATCATTGCTGGCTCAGAGCCACTGCTGCCTTCCTCATCCTCAGTCCTTGTGGGGCAGGCAGACCCTCACCCTGGGGTGCTGCAGAGAACCAGGACATGGGTGGGATGGCTGGGATGGGGAGCAGGGAGAGCAGCTCTGTCTGGACTCCAGTTTCCAGTTACAATTTGTTTTTCTTCCCTAATTCCTATTCCTTCCCATTTCCTTTCCTATGGCCAAATCCCAAAGACACCATATTTAGCAAAAGGATGCCAGATCTTGTGCTATCAAGAAGGATGTCCCACATGCAGGGTCAAATAGTTATTTGGATCCTTTGCTTTCACAGCTTATGGTAGGAGTAAGTGAATTATATGTATTATTTACTATGTTTCTAAACTCATTTAATTTAAGCTGATTCCGAATGGAAATTAGAATTCAATTAAAATGTGGGGGAAAGCCAGCATTTTGAGGCAGATTATTAAGTAAAGCTACATTAAACATGTTGGAAGCATAAATATCTCGGAACAAGTTCTATATTTAAAAGTGGATGCATTCAGCAAAGGAAGTATCATCTGTGGTCCAGGAATTGAGGAGCCTGTTATCAAGGGCAAGATTTTATCAGCAGGTCTCAGATTCTCACATCTGCGTCTCCCCCAGGGCCTGATTGAGTCCAGAAATCTGGAAAACTCTCCCTTTTCCTCCAGCTCCCAGCTTCTGCATTAATTGTTTATCGATCCGACACGAGGGGAATATTCCCTCCCTGCTGCGGAGGAGGGGAGCCTCTTGTCAAAAGTTGTTTTACCACTTCCATAAATTCCAGTTGCAATGACTTCCCCGGGTTCAACAATCCCGTTTTCCAGAAGCACCAGCCCCACCCGCACACCACGCACCCATTCCTTGGGATCATTTTAGACATTGCTTGATTCCCAGTTTCGAGACACTCTGAACCCATCCGACTTCCCAAAGGAAGCATCAGGTCCTCTTCTAAATGTAAATCCCATTTTCACCTGCCTCCCACTGGGACAGAGCATCCCCAAAGCAAGACACAGGCAGCCTGGCGCGGCTCGCAGGGAATGGCACACAGGGGAGTTTGACATTGCACAGATCCTGCAGCATGGGGCTGAGAGGGGACGTCAGGAGATGCCAAGGAGGGATTGGGATCAAGGCCCAGGGTGGGCAGGAGCCATTGGCATGACAACCGGTACCAGGCAGTGAGTAGGGAGCACGCACGCAGTGGATAATGAAACATGAAAAGGGATTCCAAGCTTGTGTGCTCATTTCTATCCATTAGAAATTCAATCTTGTCTAGTCTGGAAGACACAATGATGCCTGGAGCATCTGAGTGCGAGCTGAGCAAAGGGGAGAGCTGCCTTCAGACTGGTTTATTGAAGTTTCAAAACAGAATTTTAATCTCAGTAACTAATGAAATAACAGAGGAGAAAATTTTGCTTCCTCGTCTGGTGTCTCAGCCCGTCAATTTGTGAGAACGCGCATCCCAAAACACCTCAAAGCATTCCAGGAGAAAGCCATGGAATGGCACTGACAGCAGCCCCTGCCTGCACTGCCAAAGGGCACAGAGGAAACAGGAGGCTGCTGCCGGTGGAAGGCAGCACCAGAGCGTGCAGCTTGGGCCACTGCCCCGGTCACTGGTGGGACACCAGTGGGTGCTCCCAAGGGTCCTGGGCACAGCGAGTCCCCCGGGGCCGGACAGGGCTGGGAGGGCAGAGGGTCACCACGGCACCAGGCCTGTCCCTGTCAGCTCACCCTGGAAACGCGTCACCTTGTCACTTCATTGTATTCACCACCGACGAGCAGCAGGCGTTCAGAGCAGCCTGAAAGGGAGCAGCTCTGCAGTCACCTTTAAACCCAGCCGAGGCACTGACCCACTCCACCACCTCAGGAAGGCACCTGGGGCTCCGGTACTTCGTATTCCACATGTGCAGAAAGGAGAGATGTTGCCAGCCAGCACCTCTGCACTGCTCCGTGGTGATGCCCGAGGAGCTGCAGGCTCCCGGCACCACACGGCTTCAGCCACTGCACCACCTCCATCAACCCCTCTGCACCAAGCTCAGCCTCAAGCCTCACCGCCAGCTCCCCTTCCCCTTCCAGGTTTGTTTGAAAAGAGCAAATCAGTCATAAGAACTAATTATTCAGTGTGCTCTCACCCCATAAGGCAGTAAATTAAAAGAGAACTCCAATAAATTACGGAACTTCCCTCATGCCTTTTATTATCTCAATAACCTTCAGAGGGATTTATCTGCCGTCAGCTGATCCATTTGAAAAATTGTGACGACAAACTAATTTAGTAAATGCACACACTTAAAAACCTGTATTTATACACCGAGGGAGTAAATACAGCCAGTGCTGCATGAGCTGCTCTGGTGGGGACCCCTGCATCCCCATGAGAACCCAACCCCGGCCAGCTCATGCTCCAGCTCCCCTCCCACACCAGGGTGATCCAGGATCCCTCAGGCACCGAGGCAAATGGGCCACAAAAACTACTGCACCCAGGGTGGGAAAGAGGAACCTGCAGTGCAGGACCGGGAGGCAAATCAGCAACAGCAGCACAAGGGACGTGCTCCACCAGCAGCGAGTGCAGGGCAGGCTGCCCTGGCATCCACCGCCTGGGACATCAACGATTAAGGACGACATGTTCTAGTGATGGGAGGTGGTGAAACAGAACGCAACTGGGAAAGAGGCCCTTTAGTTTGAAAGGGAAGGAGAGAAAATTCCCAGCTCTCGCCAGGGAACATAGGAACAAAGGGACTGTGGAAATGGGGAACATACGGGGTACGCACGACTGACCGTGTGTGGGTCAGGAAAGCTGGTTTTCCAAAGGCAGCATCCCATGGAGCATCCTAAACCATCCTAGCCTGGCCAGGTCCCTCCCATTCAGGAGCAGCAGGATGGGAAGGGAAAGGATGGGCACTAGAAGGCCCCCAGGAGATGACAGCTTGTGGCTCCTGACCGTGCTGCCCCACACCGAGTGCTCTCCGGGGGCACACGTCTGTCCATGATGGCTCCTTCAGCACCTCCAGCTCTGCCACATCCATCCCCATGCAGTTCCTAAGCTGCCAGGAAGGAGTAATAGCCACAACTACAAGGCTGGGGTTTCCCAGTCCCATCCCAGTCCCCCTGAGCTCCTTTGAGTGCTCACAGCCACAGTGCTCACCAGGCAACTGCCCTGCAGGCTCCCACCTCCCATCTTTGGTGTGCCAAAACCATCCCTTCAGCTCCCTACACAGAATTCACATCCTTGTGAGAGGATCCCAAAAGCAGCCACCTTAACCCTGACAGAGGTGCACTCAACACTGCAGCAGTGCATTTGTGTACCCTCATGCTGAGGCTTCCACGGTGCCGAACAAACCCATGGATCACTTCAAAGGATGGCGGGGAAAAACCAACCCAACCTTCTGTATGTTCTGTGAAACAACGAGCAGAGCCTCCCCACAGCTCTCAGAGCCAAGAACACGTTCCCAACGACTGGCCAGATCTGGGCAGCCCCAACCCACTTCAATCATCCCTCCACAAAAATTACCAACTCCAGGTGCTTTCTCTGTCTATTATCCAGAAAAAAAAAATAGCCTTAATTTCCTGCTTTGTGAGGCTTCATCACGCCTCAACCATTTTAGCCTGAAAGCAGGAAGCTCTGTGGGGAGCAGAGCACCTTCATCTCTATTTGCACAGCTCCCAGCACGGCCTCCAGCCTGCGGGTACCACTGGAACGCAGCAATACCAAGTCAGCAGGATACATCCTCAGCACGCTGAGAGACCAACCATGAGCCCTGGACATCCCAGGAAACACCGGGAAGCATTAGCAGGGGAAACAGTGCAAGGTGATCCCCGATGCCAAAGCTCACAGCGACTGGCAGCCACCCCAGCACAGAGCCCCCCAGCACCGTGGAGGCAGCAGGTGCCAAACCCCCATGAAAGGCAACTGAAAATAGTCGGTGGTGTTAATGTCACTGGTGAGAAGCTGAGAAATCCCGGTTTCCCAGCTCTCCCCCATCTCCGCCTGCACACACCCGGGTGCCATGAGTCCTCCCCAGGCTGCTCCAGCCAGACGGATGGGTCCATGCCCGCAGCTCCTGCCAGGCTGCTGCCTGCACCCACTGCCCGTCCTGCCCAGCACCTCGGCAGTGTGGCACTTGCGCACGGTGGCACGCACAGCAATAGGGGAGCACAGCACATGGGCATTGGATAACGGCACCTTGCAACACACGCAACACAAACAGAGGGTGACTCCAAAGGGCCTTTGCCAGCCATCCATCCATCCCTCCCTCCCCGTGCACCAAGCGCTTCGCAGTGAGCTCCTCCTGTGATGGAATTCCTGGAGACAGGCATGAATTCAGAAAAGAAAAAACCCAGGGAAAGCTGCCTGGCTCTGCTCGCTCCCGAGGCTGGGTGGGAGCATCCTTTCCTTTTTCCTCCCCTCCTCCCTCATCCCATTAACCCAGACTCCATCCCACCCAACTTTGACAATTTACCTTCACCTGGAGGGTGTGATTTCAATTAACGCAACGTTCCTGTGAACGGCAGCGCTTAATGAAGACATCTGCTAAGAACCGACACTGCAACCGAACGAGGAGGGGGGCTGGAATCCGTTTGCGGGCGAGCGAACCGCTGCCGGCTCCAGCTCGAGATGATGCTGTAACGAGCCGGCTCCGTTACCGGACACGCTCTCAGGGTCCCGAGCAGCCGCCGCACCGAAACTCCATCCCGGAGCGGAGCGGACCGGACGGGTTCCGCCGCCCAGAACAACCTCCCCCCCCCCACCGCGTCCGCCGGGATGCTCCCGGTGGATCCCTCCCGCCCAGCCCCACCGCTCCCGTCCCCGGTAACTCACGCGCTCAGCGGTGCCCGCCGCGGCGGCGGAGGAGGCTCAGGGCAGCCGCGGGTTCCCGCCCGCCGAGCGGCATCTCCCGAGCAGCGGCGTCCGGGGCAGCCCGGCGGCAGGAGGCGGCACCGGGATGCGCGGGGCTGGGCTCGCCGCACCGGGCAGCCCCGCACGCGGCTGCGCCGCCGCCCCCGGAGCCGCCGAACCAGCGCGACCGCCCCCGCCCCGCCCCTCGGGATCCCCTCCCCCTGCCGCGGGGAGCCCCGAGCCGGGGAGGGGGGGCCGGGACCTGACCCAACAAAGCGCCGGTTTCCCCCCAGAAAACGCGCAGCGGCCGGGGCAGGAGCTGCCCGGGGCCGCCCCCATCCTTCGGTCGCTGGGGCCGTGCTCACGGAAGAGCAGCCCCCGGGCACCCCCCCCATACCCGCCCGGGGCCGCAGCGAGGGAGGTTTCTATTCATCACTGCAACCGCTGCGAAAACCGAGGCCGTGCGGGATGCGCGCATGCAGTGCACGCCGGGTCCCCAAAAGCTCTGGGCCTCCCCCAGCCCCTCACCCTGCCTGGTCAGCCTCAAAGCTTCCCTGGGCATGCTGCGGGAGCAGGCCTCCAGCGGTCCGGGCTCTCTCCCAGGAAGGCAGCTGGGTACGGTGCATGACCTGCATCGTCACGTTTTTCCTAAGAAATACCTGAAATACCTGCAGCCGGCTTAAGCCACCTTTTATTCCCTATGAGCTCAGCCCATGGTCCCTCTCTGAGACATTATCAGCATCCCGCAGAACCCATACACAGGCTCCCCATGTCCCCTCCAAACACCCTTCACATTCCCCCCAGGGGCTTTGAGAACACTAGAGAAAACCATCAGGGTTCTACAGAGCCACAATGTGAATGAGGCCCATAAACTGCATCTCGCCATCCATTGTGCATGACAAACGAGGGTATTTTTAGCCTCCCAGCCCCGCTGCCCTGGCAGAGCCGCAGCAGCTCTTGTGCTCAGACCCGCAGACAAAGACAGCGCTGGGCTGGCTCCTCACGCTGCCCCGCTGGGCTGTTTCCTCACGGTTCACTGAGCCTGGAGATGCTTTAGGCAGCAGATTTGGAGAATGAGGAACCAGGAACAGGACAGAGCTCAGTGCTGCAAAGCTGCCTCTGCATTTCAAGGCTTTGAAATGGGTCCCTGTTGACATCCATTCCTAGAAAGGCAAACTGGGACCTGCTCAGGAGGTGCAGCCTTGCAAGCTGGGAGAAGTGGGATGCTCGGGATTGCTTGGCAACCCCACAGGAAAGGCCTAAGCTGAGCAGCTCACACCTACACCAGGGCAGGGAGAGGAGCCCGCAGGGGTAGCCTGTCCATGGGACTCCAAGAGGGCAAGCATCTGAACCCGGCTCTGGGAGAGGAGGAGGAGCAGCAGCAGAAGGGGATAATGGCAGAGAATGTGCGAGAGCAGCAGTGGAGGGAAGAGGAGCAGTTCAGAAAAAGCACAAGTCAACAAACCACTGCCTTCTGGTGAAGCTGTTACGTGACCAGAGGGAACAAGTACTAATCTGGAAAAAAATACTTGTTTTTCTTTTCTTCTTAGCTTATTTCACAGCCTATTTGCCATTTAGGGCCTTCCTTTGGAGGCACTCAGAGCTCTTAAATCACTGCTGCCTTTTTGTTTTTATCCTTTTCATAACCACTGCTGGAGTAAAGAGATGACAAGACCTGTTGTGGCTCCAACTTGGGTTTTTCCTGCACGCAGATGCTCTAAACGTGGAACACAGCAAAACCCTCAACCTGGGGATCCTCTCCATCCCTAATGACCCTGTTATTCCCTCTGTGGAGCCCCAGCAAGGACAGGGCCAAGCAGCCAGACCCAGATTTGCAGGAATCACCTCTGTAAGGTACCAGATGCTGTTGGGTATTGGGAAGCTCAAGGGCCCAGCTCAAACCTGGCCCTGCCCGGTGGTTCACCCACATCCACCAATGCTGAGGCATGGTGCCAGCTGGAGCCATCCCCAGAGAGCCACCAGGACACCAGGTACCTGCACCAGCTTTGGCCACAATAGAGACGGTGGGATTAGAGGGCAGGACCCAGGTTTTTGGCATGGGTTGGACACCCTGACCCAAAAAACCTGAAGCAGAACATGCGGTACCCAGAGAGGAGCTAAATGCATGTCTGGTCCTGAACACACTCAGGCTGCAAAGCCCCCTCCAGCACTGGGAGAGGAGCAGCAGAGCCATGCTAATGTGCCCCAAAATAATGCTTTTTAAAATAGAATTTACGATAGATTCCATAGCGAGGTTATGCAACATAATGAGCAAATCTAAAATGCAATTGTCGCTGTGCATTAACAGCAAAACCCTGAGCCTCTATTACACTGACAAACTTATTAAATCCGGGAGCACTGCACCGCATCAGCCAATTACCAAAACAATGCCAGGATCCGGAGAACAATCTGATCCCCATTAGGGGCAAGGAGCGAGGGCAGCGGCCACACAACCGGGCTGCCCGCAGCTGGCCTCCTGTCAAGCATCGCATGTGGTGTTATGTCTTTGTTGATGGGGGGTTTGCAGCCACTTCCCCTGTTCCAGGGGAGACACAGCAAAGAGCCTGCAGCCACCTCAGGGCCCAGGACCTTCCCAAAGCAGCTCTGGAGCAGAGCTGTGGCGAGCAGCGGGTGGACATGAAACAGCCGGGATTCAGCCATCACATCAACGGTGCTCTCCGAGGAGCCAACATTGTTTTGTGCCATGGGCAGAGCTGGGTCTTAGCTCATTCCTGGCACATGTTTTCGGGGAAGGACATTTGCTCCAGCAGCAGGACAGGGCACACAAAGCCTGGCGGCCTCTCACCTCCCATTTTGCCTCCAGGAAATCCCATCAACGCTCATGCTACGTCCTTACAAGACATGAAACACGGTGAGCGTGAGCCAAAGCTGCCCATGCAAACACCTACCCGAAGCGTGCCTTCACCTCGGTGGAGTGATTTGACACAGCACTAATTATGCAAATTAATCATCAGTAAATCAGGTCCCTGTTTGTTTGTTTATGTTGCAGGTTGCACAGCACAGGCAGGAGGCGGCACCAGAGCGGAGCTGCTCTTTGGGCTGAGGTGAACCCTTTGGTAACGTGTGGCATGACCAGAGCTCCCCACATGCTCTGCTCCGATGAAATCCTGAATTGATTTGCTGGTATCAGACCGCTCATAGCTCTCGGTGTGTCACAGCAGCTAATGAACCGTGCCAGGGATGCATTTATAACCTATGAGCCCCTTCCATCAGGAAGGGGTTTTCTTCCCCCCACCCTTTACTCTGAGCTTCTGAAAGTTAAAAACCAAACCAAGCACCAAAAAAGCACCAGTATCAAACACCTCTATTGAAAGTCAAGCACCGTGTGATTTCCATCCACCCTTGGGACCCAGCTCTCAAATGGCTGCAGAAAATGCCTGGACAAGTCACCCGCATCCCGCTGATATTCCCAGCTTGCCCAGAGCAGATTCCTCCCCTTCCCCAGACCATCACCCTCCAGGCGGAGAAGCTCTCACACCTTCTGAGCAAAGCTGTACCAGCAATACCTATAAAACCTGCCTCTGGCAGCATCCCAGAGCCAAGCCATAGATCAGGGAGGAAGGGTCCCTTCACCCTCCTTCTCATCGCTGCAGATGGAACCAAGAACCTGCTCTGAAGTCCCAGTACAGAGCAGGGAGGCAGCAGTGGGAACAGAAATGCAGCAACAACAGAGGGGCTGCACCCACCCCTCAGTGCGCATGCTGCAGGACAGCAGCGCTTCAGATGGGAGAGGAGTTCCCCCTTGCTCCAAAAGCAGCGCTTCGGGATCGCAGAGACAACTCTATCGGGGAACAAGAGCTAATTAAATCTACTGGGATCACTGAAGAGGAAAGTACTTAATATTCTGCATGGGATTTAATATCTGAAAGCATGGATGGCCTCGTTTCAGCAGAGATCTGTTTCTCCCTAACATCCGACTTCACTCTGCGGCCAGCCCTGCTGCCGGGGGACAGGCAGGACACTGACTGCAAGGAACCATGCTGCTGAGTCAGAGAGAAACAAACAGCGGGAGAGCAGAGCATCACTAGAGCCTGGTGCATCCCCAGGTGCTCCTGATGGAGCAGCAGCTCCACAAGCCAGAGAAGAGAAGCCTCCTGAGGGGCTCTGCCACACCTGCAACCCCCCAGCCTCCAGAGCAGAGCCCAAGGGTGCACCAGCCTGATGCCAAAGACCCCAGAACTCCTCTGGCCCTGTTTCTTTCGCCTCTTTATGCCCTGATAACGTCTTTTTCTCTCATGCACATGAAAGCGAGCAGAAGTAGCAATAATTTTCTTCTGTATTTATGCCACCAATACCTTGAGCTAATTCCTGTAACTGCCAGCATGGAAGCACTAATACCTCTGCAAAAGACAAAGCAATTATTTCTCAACATAGCTCTCTCCCCTTGCATTGTCACCATCCAAATCACCAAAACCCTGGTCTGTTGTCAGCATCTTTGCCTAACAGGGCGAATAGATACTTCATCAGATGCAGTGGCATCAGGCAAGCAAAGAGCACCCATAGCCTCGGGCAAAGTCAAAGTGTGAGTGACACAAGCCAGTGTCTGGAGGCATCACCCAGGGACAGCCTGGATAGGAACAGGACCCGGAGGAGGGCTGAGGCTCTCCAGTGCCTTGGCCAGGAGGGCCCTGGAGGTGCCTGTGTTGGGAGAAGGGATGAGGGAAACGCCAAGCAGAGAGGCCCGGAGCTGGCTCTCCCACAGGCCCCAGCACATCAGCTCCTGTGCAGCCACCCAACTCCTCTGGTGCAGCAGAGACAGCCCCTGCTCCCCCACAGGGGATGGGATCATGCCACCGCTTGATCCAGACACAGGCACGTTAGCGGTGCTCCCAGTGTCTCCTCTGGGTGGAGACACAGCGTCTGCCTCAGGACCCCCCACAGCTCTAGACCTTATTATGCTGTGGGTCTTCTCTCAAGAAATTAAAATGAGCCATAAAATGACAGTGAAGTGAAATAAGGGATGGAAAGAGCAGGGAGAATGTAAATGGTGGCATTAGCTTATGTACACCACTTGCAGAGTGCCTGCTCCCCACCGGGTCAGTGCAGCCCCAGAGGAGGGGAAGGTCCCACACCACTGAGATGAGGCCATAGCTCCTCTGCATGGGGGTCCTGGGGGTCCCTGCCCCAGCCAGG